TTTGGTAAATCTATATCTTTATTTTCGTTTGTTTTATCAATAACAATGTATGAAATAAATTCAATCGAATCATTAAATGAAATTAATGATGGATTTTCTGATCGATCTAATACTAGTCTTTTAATATCTTGAATTAAACGGTTTTTGATTTGATTGTTGCGAACACGTATAAAACCAGCACCTAATTTCGAATAACATTGAATACTTGTCGGTATAATTCGAAAAGTTTTCTCTAGACGAGTTTGAATTAAACGATGTAATTGAAGGTCATCATCGATGTCTACAGGTAGATCAGAAATGTAGACAATGGCTTCACGCTCTGAATAGTATTCTTCATCATCGAATTCGATTGATTGAGATTCTGTTTTCGACTTTGTTGATAATGCATTAAACTTTGAGCAGTAGTTTTTTTCAAATCCTGAAGGAGATTTAATAGGTGTCGGTGGATCAACATCCATGAGTTCTATAAAATGAATACTTTAGCTATATCAGAAATATTCTTTTGAACATTCGGATCATAAAAAAATCTTCGATTCCAATATTGTAACGTCTACTAAAATAACTATTGCCCTACTCCTACTGATGATATCGAATGGAATGCTGTTCAAAAGATTTTGTACGATAGAGATGTACATCGTTCCTAAAGTGCAAAGTGGTGCAATTTCCTATGCTCAATTTATTGAACGACATCGTAGACTGAAGACCACACCTAATCATGACAGGCTAACTTTTTTTTCACTAATTTTTATTCATAGTTTTTTGCATTATTGAATATTTAACCCATTCGCCACGATGGGTCCCATCGGTGGGACCCGCTTATACACAGTTGAATATCTTCACTTCAGTTTATTGATATGACATCCTTTCTTTTGTCAAACATAGAGAAATGTTCAACCTTTTTATTCATAAGAGAATAGTCGATAAAGGTTGCGTTAGTATGAGCTAAATGGCTCCCATAAATAGTGTGATATCGTTCGATTCCCAGAAAAATATACTTGACGCACATTTTCTATCAGTTACTGTGAATAAGTAAAGCTTTGCAATCCCAGTCGGTTTCAACAAATTCGACTGATGTTTTTCAGAATATTGAAAGACACATCAATTTTCATTGGTTTTAAATAAAACTAAATCTCTTACAATTGGAAGTTGTCAGGTGCACACATTATTATTTTCACATCTCGTTGTTCATCTTTTTATTCTTATTGAAGCGACTTAGCATATCTTAACGTAGATTTATCGATTATTCTCTTATGAAAAAAAATGTTGAATATTTCTCTATGTTTGACAAAAGAAACGATGTCATATCAATAAACTAAAGTGAAGATACTCAACTGTGTATAAGCGGGTCCAACCTGTAGGACTCATCGTGGCGAATGGGTTAACTAGGTAAGGCAGAACACTCACACCCAGTATTTTATAAAGAATGTTTCTATCAACGACAGAATCCCGACTCTTAACTTTCTATGTTTTATGTAAACCCCCCACAGAATAGAAGCCCAGTGAGCTTCTAATTTGTTTGGGAAATTATAAGTTTAAGGGTGGGCTTCTATTAAGATCAAGTTTTTCACCTCGTAGAGAGAGATTTATGTAAGTTTAAAAGCAACGATAAATAGAATTTTATCACTTTCATTTCTTTTATTTATACTACTCTATGTTTCAATGTCCTCGAAGTCGGAACACTTTTGGCGATTAATCGCGATTTTCGAAAAAAATCGTCGATTTATCTGTGATTAATCGGCGATTTTTATCGAAATGGTACATAAATGGCGATTTTCCCAGGAAAAATCAGGACAAGTCGCAAATTTCAGGGATCGTATCGCGATTTAGCAGCCCGATTAATCGTGAGAATTTATTGTGATAAATCGGCAATTTACGCTTAACTGTTCACAATCGATAATATTATGGGAAATCAAATCATAATATTCATCTTATCGTTTCACTATATTAGTAGCTCTATCTATCTTCATACTGAAGCGATTTGACTCTGTTATTGACACTTTCTATAGATTATTTTCGTTACGTGTTGATTTGACTCTGCTTCTAGAATAAGAAATATAAACAAGATGAACTTCGATGAGGCCTTCTGATAGGCAGTCTAATGTCATCTACATATTTCATCAAATATGTGCCGTTGTTTGTTGAATCTTGATTTTGTTGGGAAAATTGACAAAAAATCATCAGTTTTGACAATATATTGCAATTTAATCTCATGATTAATAGCCCGATTAATAGTGATAAAATCGTCGATTTTGTCGCGATTTTGAAGATATGGGCTGTAATTACAAAAAGTTTCAAGACAATTTCACAAAGACAAACAATACACGTTTCACAATTTTTTTCGTGTAATAAAAAAGCACAATATAGTATAACGAAAGAAATAGATTGCCGTACATGAACATCTAATTAATAGAATTGACTATTATCAACAAAGTGCTTTGTTTTCTTCATTTTTCTATACACATATATTTCGAATTAAGTGCCCGCTGAAAAATGAGAGATTATACCAAATTATAATCCGATTTTTTGAGCAACAAAATCAAAATTATAATAGATTGAAATCTTAAAAATCAACCGCAACCCGATTTTTAATCAAAAATAATCTTCAAAATCGATTATTATTTTGGCTAAAATCGTATACTTTTGATTAACATCATATCAAATTAAAAAAAAAATGATTTTAATCAAAATTATACTTGATTTCGAAGGTCCTTTTCGATTGAAAATCAGATTGGGGTTGATTTCAAAGATTTCAATCGATTATAACTTTGATTTTGTTGCACTAAAATCCGATTAATAATCTAGTATAATCTCATATAATTTAATATTTTTTTACTGAGTGGGCTTCTATTATTTGGGAAAGTTATAAAGTCAAGACTGGGCTTCTATTATAGGGTGGGCTTCTATTCTGTGGGGGGTTTAGTTTCTTTTTTTTAAAGTTCTAACAATAGAGCGTTGACTCCTTACATTAATATTTTACGAGGTTATCAGAGATTAGATTTTTATTTCATTTTTTCAAAAATTTTTTTCTATCCGTTTACCCATATTACTTCTTCTATCATGTGTACATCATTTTAGTGCGTATTTCTTAGGAAATACTTTGTTGAAGATTCTAGCTAAATTCGAAGTATTATCGGCATACAAATTTTTAAACTGTAGCGGAGTATTAGTGAGTATACCAATTGGTGCACCGACAGTTGAACCTCCGACAGATGAGCCCCGACAGTTGAGCCCCGACAAATGAGCCCTCGACAGTTGAGCCTACCGACAGTTGAGCCTACCGACAGTTGAGCTCCCGACAAATGAGCTCCCGACATTTGAGCCTCAGAAAATTGAAATTTCATCGATTAAATATAGAACACACGAAATTATTATTGAATCGCTTAATTCACTTGAAACTAGTGCACGGAAACATGAGACATCTTTCGATGGTACTGATGGCTCGTCGATATATTTTTCGTGGCTAAGTCAATCATCTGTACAGAAATGAACAAGTTTTTCGAACAATATTTCTGTGACTCATAAAGGTTTTATCATTCTTGGTATATTTTTCTATTATCATTAACAATGTCAATCGTGAAATCTTCAAAAAACAAGGATCAACTTTTACTTAGTGGTTATCATTATCGTCGTGCAAATAAATCTCAAATTATTTGGCGTTGTTGTCGAAATGACTGTGCTGGTCGTATACGTTTTGATGGAACAGGTTATATTAAAGTTACGGATCATCTTCATGCACCAAATCCTGAAGAAACAATATCAGTGGAATTCAAATCAAATATCAGTTCTAGTGCAACAATATCGCATGATCCACCACGACGTATTATTCATCAGGCTTTATTAAATTTTTTTTAATATGAGGCTCAAGTGTCGGGAGCTCATTTGTCGGAAGCTCAACTGTCGGTAGGCTCAACTGTCGGTAGGCTCAACTGTCGAGGGCTCATTTGTCGGGGCTCAACTGTCGGGGCTCATCTGTCGGGAGCTCAACTGTCGGGTCACGATACCAATTATACTGCAATATATCTTGCTTAAAATTTTTAGCAATACACCCAACAAAGTTAGTAAGAAATGTGCAATTAAAGGTTGTAAAAAGTAATAAAATAAGTAATATGCTTAAATGGATAAAAAAATTAACTAAAAAGAATCTTTTTTTTTTTTTTTTTTTGAAAAGTTATGCCTAAAATCTAACGACAACATGCAAGTTGATAAGCGAAAGCATATTTTTAAAAGTTTTTTATTCTTTCGTAGGTTTACCTTGAATTCTTGGATCTAATGATTTATTTTTATCATTTTTCGGACGTCTATTCGAAGATGTTACTTGATTATCTTCTTTTGTTGTTGCATCTGCTTGTGGCTGTGACAGTGAAGTCGATATTGAAGATAAAACGAATCGTGGTGCTCCACAAAATACACATCGTTTTGTTGATGGCTCATTGATGCACGAACATTCATCGCATTGCCAATTACTTTCCTTTTTTTCAAGTGTACTTTCTGTTCTTGTTACTAAGATAATATTTGTATCCATTTCTGCCTAGAAATATGCATACAATACTCGTTAAATCTCAATAGAAACTGAAATCATTGCGAAGTTTTCTCTAGAACAGCTATTTAGATTACTGAAATGAGAATTTCTCGTAAGTTCGATACTTCATTCATGAATTTGAGACTAAGGAATTTATTAATTAAATAATATGTATTCTTATAATTTTCATATTCGTGAAATGTACTCTATAAAAGGACTCAACTTTTGGTCCTGCATAGGTATCAACTAAATGTTAAAACATCTTGTGAATATGAATTTTGTCGTGACTTCAAAAAAAAAAATTTTTTTTGATTGTCCTCTGGATTTTTTAATCTCTTGATATTGTGGTGGAGGACCTTATAGTTGATAAATTTTGGCAATGCAAAAGATTAGATTTTTTGTATAAAGTTCACAAAAGAAAGAATTTTAAAGCGATAAAAAATCTTATTTATTCGACCTTGACAAATGTTTCTGTATATTTTAATGTAAACAATATTTCGACTGACAGATATATTTTAAGGAATTTTTTTTATTTTATACATTATGCCAAAATTAAAAAAAAAGAAGACTTTACCATTTTATCCGACTGTATTTGATTTGAATTGTGTTCAGTAAATGTTTTAATAGTTGTTGGTGTATTTCGAGATAATATTATTCCCAGATTTGAATCTTGATGACAGAAATGACAATCAGTTCTACCTCTTCTATCGAAACGATCTTGAGCACAACTACGATGAAATGTATGATTACAGCTTGTCGTTATAATATCATCGTTCCAATTCCATTCATTTTCACATATTGAACATTCTCCTCTTTTTGCTAAGTTCTTTAAAGAAAGTGCATTACCAAGAGCCGAATCTTGATGACAGAAATGACAATCAGTTCGACCTTTTTTATCGAGACGATCTTGAGCACAAATATAATGAAATGTATGATTACAATCCGTGATTACTAGATCGTCTTCGGATGTCCATAAACTTTCACATATTGAACATTCTCCTTTGTTGACGAATTTCAGACGAGCAAGTGCATCGCCAAGTGCCGAATTTTGAGCACAACGACGATGACATCTGTAATTAGAATTTGTCGTTACCAAATCATCTGTTTCATTTAATTCATTTTCACATATCGAACATAGATTTATTTTTAATGAAGACATTTATAAATCTAAAATTGAAAAGTTTATTATCATATATCTTTCTCTATTACATACATGAATAAAAAAGAAAATTTTTTTCTATTTGATTATTAAAGAATAATTTTTGAAAATTATATGAAAAAGAAAATGTTATTTTTTATGCTCTCTAAATTGTTTAATAATACTCAGATTAGCTTCAGATCTCAAGAAAACATAAAATGTTACATCAATCTGTATTCTTGATAGAAGTTGTTAGATTTCTGATAGATCTCTCATACTATATACCAGTCACACGACATTGTATTTCTATACAGTATGTTCTTTTTCTTCCTTTATCGTCATGCATACATCGAGGATGCTTTTTTCCTCTTGGAATATTTCTTCTTGATAATTTCATCGTCTGCCTGTCTAAGCTCTGACAATGCTTTTAGCATTAATCTTTCCATAAACAATTACGATTGACTTAGTAAAAACAAGAAAATACAAAGAAATAGAACTATTTGATCAAATACAGATTAAAGAATGAATCGAGAAAGAGAATTTCTATGATTACAACTCTTGAAATATTTGAGATTATAGAAATTACTGAGAAATTTAGGAAATTTCTAGTATGCAGCAATTTCATACACGTATACATATGTTTCTATCAAACAAGGAAAACCTACCGTTTAGGAGATGGAAAATTATAAACAATGCTGACAAGTTTTAGTAATTGTTATAAAATGAAGAAAACTTCCATATTTTCTTCATCTTTAATGCATATAGATTTAGAAATAAATTCTCACTGATTTCTATTCAAGATGTCGAATATAGATGGATACATCATATATGGTCTTTCTCTTATTTACTATAATATATCGTTCGTTGGATATTTTTCTGTTCTCTCATACATTATATCTAATACATCTAGACATCAGTTCTTTTCTGATATTTATTTGAGCGACTGACTGTATTATTTTTATCATATACAGCGTCTACCAATATTATTCAACAAGCATGCCGAACTTTTGTCGTCTATTAATATTTCAAAAGCTAGATAAGCTAGAGCACTCTGCTTTTTATAACAGAATAATAGTATTCTATATTTCATTCTTCCAAAATTATTTAACAAATTATTTAATCGATTTTGATTTCAAATGTAAAAGTTTTATAGAAAAACAGATTTTCTACAAATTTACATCTGTATAAAAAACTTCGACATCTTCATCGATACGCCAATAAGACAATACAAGGCATCCTATCTATGAGTACTTGATGTGTATATGAGGATTAACCAATTCAATTTCTGCACTTGACTGATTAAACGTTGCAGTAGGCAAAATATTATCCGAAAAATTGTGTTCTAAAGTTTTTCTTTTCTATCATATCTGCTACGATTTTGCTCTTGTAAATGGTATATCATGAAGAAAATCTTATATTAACATTAGCATATTGACTGGCAAAAAAATAAATTGTTAAATAATTTTGGAAGAATGAAAAATACAAAACTGTCATTCTATCGCCTATAAAATCTTGATAGATAGATGGATCGATCTGAAAAATTTCATAAATATTATAGAAATCATGAGCTATGATATTAGGAGAAGCAGAGTACTCTAGCTCATCTAGCTTTTGAAATATGAGCCAAATAAAAACACTCTGCTCGCTTGTTGAATCATTTTGGCAGCCACTGTATAGATACATGAGCCTTCTTCCACAGTGTTCTCGTACTCTCTTGTTCTACTTGGTTTTATCTTCTACCTTTACGTAGCTACTGTCAATTAAACAGCTGAATTCATCTTAATGAAATTAACAACAATTACGGTTCACGGATAGGATTCATCATTTTCATAGAGTTCTGTGTTAATAAAGGTAAAGAAATTGTGGATAATTCTTCAAAATTTCAGTAGAAAGCTCATGTTGATATAGATGATCATCACAGTTATGACCTTGATATTTGTTGCTTCACTTCTAATAATTTGTTTTTCATCCGTCTAGTTTTTAAAAATAACTAGAAAATTCCTAGTATAATATCTTAATTCCACTTGTACCTTATTTCTTTAAGCCTCTCTCTTTGCAACAACGAAACAGCTATATATAGGTAGCATGAAAAGGAATTGGACAAATTCATAAAAGGTGATTAATAAAAAGACAAAAATAAGGAGAAGAGAATACACATACAATTAGAGCAATAATTCCCTTGTGAAAATTTTTAAAATTACAAGCTATTTACAAGCAGCTTACAATAGTTTATATTTGTTGTTTAAAAGAACGTATAGGCGCACATTTTAAGTCTCTTAAAAACGCTTAGAACGTATTTAAGCGCTTATTAGCGATTAAAATACTTGTGAAAGCTCTTTTAATCAGCTTGCGACAGCTGAAAAAGTTAACTATTCAGCACCACCCGTCTAAATAGCTGATAAGTGCTGAAAAATTAACTTTTTCAGCTGTTGCAAGCCACTTGAAAGAGCTTTCACGAATATTTTAATCGCTAATAAGCGCTTAAATAAGTTTTAAGCGTTTTTAAGCAATAAATGTAAGCTATTTTAAGCTAAATTATTCGTTTTAATTTTCACATGGGAAGAGCGCAATTTCTTATCACTGAATGTAGAGATGACGCAGATTATAATATCAGGTCTTAGATTAACAATTAGCACAATGATCTGGAAAATTTTTTTTCGTGCATTGCCAATTTTCAGAATTATTATGAAAGCTCGTGGCGGTGTATGAGTAGTTAACTATTGAAGTTCCTTGAAAATTTACTTCTGATGACTTAATAAATTACAGTAATTTCCAGTATTTAACAGAAAGTTGAACATTTCTGTATTTCAGGAATACATCAAATCAATTTTCTGGCGAATAACGAACAGCAGTAAGACAAATATAATTCATCTGTTTTTGAAGGGATCGGCATTTGTGATTCATTTCTCTTTCTTATACTTTGTAGCCATCTGAAGTATCTGTACATGGCTTGACTATATTTGTTGAGAGTCACAAAACACCCTTCCTATTGTTGAGTGATAGCAGCACTTTTTATACAGACAAACTAAACAAAAGTTTTAACAGCAAGGCTTTTTTTCAATTTATAATGATATATTGAACATTGCTTTGTTCATAACTATCGAAGAACTTCCTCGAAACGGCTCAATTTTGTATTGAATAGAGAAGTCTAAAAGTTCTCCCAATGTTATCGATTAAAATCGCCAGTCATATTGTACTTTGAAGATATTGTTTGGGTGCGGGTGTGGGTGTTGCTGTGTGGATGCGAATGGATGTAGATCCTGTGCTATTGAATACTCAGACCCACACCCACACCCATACCCACACCCACACCCACACCCACACCCATACCCACACCCACACCCACACCCATACCCACACCCACACCCACACCCACCCACACCCTCTTACAAGAGAAAAAGATTTCATTTTCTCCAGCGACTTCTGAGTCTCAGTACATTCTTACTTTTGGCGAGCAAAAAATCTAAGAACTCTTATCATTACAGTGAGACTGAAAGTGTATCTATTCTCCACTTGCGTTCTTGGTTTTTTCCATTCCTTACATAACAACGTGACAACGACAGAAGTTTGTGTCGTCATAACAGGAAAAAACCGATGTAACCAACTTGTTGACAAACGCCATGTCTATTCATTTATTAATAATATTCCAAAGTTTAAAATGTCACACTGACATAACAATTATTCATGTGCATGATCGTATTGCAAATGAATACTTCTTCCTGAATATAAGAATAACATGGTATCGTCCCTCATCACCTCAACAACGTCGTTTTTCAGGCAATGACTCACATATTTACAACGATTTCTTCGTTTCTTTCTTTCTTCCTCTTGTTCTCTTCAACACGCTGAGTTATTAATAGGTTGGTTTTTTCCAAGCACACACGATAAGGTGTTTTTTTTTAGAAGAGAAATAGGCAAGTGAATAGTATTGGAAAAAGCCTGCATCATTCAATAAATACTTCGAAAAACACTTTGTGTAACTCACGTATATTTTCGAAGAAAATAATGAGTGTAAGTTTTAAGTTCAAGTTTTTGGACTCCCCCTTCCCCCACAGCGGGCAGCCGGGCGACAAAATCGATTTTCGAGTTTCGAACACATATCGTAGCTAGCGTTGGAGCTACTATGGTCCTGCATTTAAGTGTATCTTGGATACCGCTCTATAGCGAGTATGCATTAAATAGCAGGTAGCACAAAGTACGTAAAATAGGTGAGTATCATTAATTGGACCATGTAAGTAAAATCTGTATTTTTAATTGATGATCTAGTTATATTCTTTAGTTATTATATAGTTATACAATGTTATGTATTTACTATATATTACAAGTCGTTCGGACGTCTTCAAGTTCTTTAGGCTATAATAAGATAAAAACTTAGCATCAGTATAGTAAAATATAGTCACTGCCCCATAATGCAGTTCGTTTGCCGGATTTTGTCGAAGTTTAAAGTCAAGTTTTTATTTATCATTCGATAGAAGGTGTCATCGTATACCTTCAATGGATGCGCAAAGATACGGCATTGAACCCTTGTCGAGATATTTGGTTTTTACGACATTTTTTAGCACAGTGTTGTGGTCTTCCTCAGGCTCATCTGAAAAACAACTTTCGCATTTCAACTTGAAACGTTGTTCTGAGAAAGGTCTAAATGCGACTGGTTTTTTCTGAAAGTTTCAAATTCCTTGATTGCTCCTATCCTTCAATGTGAACATTTAACATTTTATGCTATAAGTAATGCGAAGAAGGGCACTTTTTCTTACACTCGCATTTCGAAATAGGAGGAACCTAAAAATCTGAAGCTTTCAGATTAAACTAGTCTCATTGAGACCTTTATCTGCACAAAGTGTCAAGTCGAAGTTCGAAAGTTAATTTTTCACGTAAACCTGAGAGGGGACCACAGCGTTGCGATACAAAGTGCCGTAAAAAGCAAATATCTCGACAGAAATAAGCAAGAAGCACGAACTTTTTTAGGGCATTCATAGCTCACTAGAGCCTACATAATGCACATAGTCTCGACTAAAAAGCTATTCGGTACTTGGAAATTGTCCCAGCCCCATTTTTATGTCCACTGTGCCCCTCCCCCCATTACCGACACATAGCAACGTAGGTTACCATTACAGACCTCAGCGACCGCCCAAAAAAGGCTTCAGATTTATTTAGCAATAAAAAAACTACTTGAACAGTATGAAGAATATGAGTTCCACTGCTCTGCAATATTTCAATGATTTCATAATTATTTGAAAAAAAAAACTATTTTTCAGTTTACCAATGATGCATTAGGATAACAATTTTGAAAGATATACGTGAGTTCCACATTTCAGTTCCAAAGAAGCTGCGCTAACAAGATTTTTTTTTGAAAATTTGAGTGTACGATGCGCAGCAGTCATCATAGCTGCATGACAATAGGTATTGAATACCTAACACACTTGTTTTTTTTCTCCGTGACATTTCTTTTCGATGAAGAGCACTAAACAATTTATGCTAAAACATTTCATTAAGACCATTTTATATGGTTGTAGTGATTTCACACTTCGCACAATATAGAACTATTACCGAAAAGGTAAGTTTTCGGTTCATGATATATTGAATAAGTAATCATGTGAAGTCAATGTTTTGTGAGCTAACATCCAATTACTTTGATGCATAACCAAGAGAGGCTAAGTTCTTCCCACTTTACCACATCTTTCAGTCAGATTGCCGAGAATCTTTTCAAAAACCAAGTCTTTTCAACACAGCTTTTTTCAAGTCAAATGCACTATAGTGCAGAGGAATCATCTGAACATTCGTTCACTATTTAAGAGTTATGAAACTACTATGATCATGAGTGTATATCTTGCAACCTGAACAACTCTATTATAGTTTTCGATCAGGAGAACCCATATATTACGGATCATACAAACCAAATCGAAATTTTCTACTTGATTCAGCATCTCTAATTTCTACTTATTGCTTCATCATAGTGCGACTTTTTGAAGAATATAAAACTACATGACACTATATAATCGCGCGCGACGCTATCACGCAATATGAAGTTTTCTGTTTTTTTCTGTGTTAAGTTAATGCATCTTCTCAACTTTCGTTAATAGATCTGTGAGTCTGAACTCCGGTGCAGATTGTGTGTGGATGCGGGGCATGCGAAGGACAATTCGATAAAAGTTCGAAATTGATGAACTACTTGTAAATGTGATCTAATCTGATCTTTTTTCCACAGTTCAGCTCAGATGAAGTGAATTGTTTAAAGAGTGCTTCCGACCTTAGGAGAACTACTTGAGTAGACACCTGATTAAGAAAGTCATCTGATGAACCTTACCTATTCTGAAAAACAGATTGTTTTTTGTGGAAAAATATGATGCTGACAATGACACCTGGGATGCTAGAAGCACTACTAGATTACAGGAAGCCCCATCTTGGCTAGTTTAGGCATAACCTCGAATACCAAAGGTATCACTTGAGTTGTTCACAGCATTGTAGGTGATGCTTCTCTCTTTCCATGTGACGCTTCTAGCATCACATGTTATGTTACTGGCATGCTAGGTAATGCCTCTAGAATTTCAATTATCAGTGCTGCTGTTGGTGCTAACTCGGGCTGTGAAGTGCGCGTATGGGTTGCTGCGGGTGTGCGCTCCTATGTAGGTCAGGGATTCGGATGTGATTGTTGGTATTAGGTTTTCAGTTGCATTCGTTCCATGTCAACACTCACATCGAAACTTTGCAGTCGCACTAACAGAACAGATAATAAAATTTTGGAAGATGTAGTAACTTAGTCTAGAAAAGCCAGAAAATTTCAGTTACCACGGAAATGTCGTGTAGTTGATTGAATATATGTGCGAATCTCGCTATATTGAAGCAGTAATTTCACTACAATATATTCAGTTGATCAATAGTTAATATTATTTTAAGGATTAACAATATAGATCTTTGCATATCGTCGAGTGTCTTCCCTAATCTAATGATAGAAATTGCGGGTTGATATCAATATGTATGCCAAACAATTTAGTAGTTAAGGTTAGTGTTATGCAACAAGGTTCATTTTCTCAAACAGTCAATCGAAAATGAAAAATCGGGCTCTGTTATATAGCTTTATTTTCGATTGAAAACCTGATCAGAAATACTGTGTGGATACCAGTGTAGGTATAAGTGTGGATGTGGGTCATAGTAAGTTTCAATCTTCTGTGCAACTGTGCAGTTACGTCCACACCTTTCTTACTTTTGAGATCGTTCATCAAAGAAATAGAAGACTAAGTGATGATGATTTTTTGTTTATATTTTCAGATATAGATCTTGTTCATTTTATTTAGCCCTATTCTAATTTCTTCTTAACTCGACTTCCTTGAGTCTATAATTAATGATGACATTCGAGTCTATAGATTTGAAGACTGGCACTCCTTATACTGTAAAATTAGCAACGAATGAGGCTTACACTTCACATGACAAAATATTACAATGCTCAAGTCAAACGGGAAAAGAAGCTATACCAGATCAAACAATAGCATCGAAAAAGGCTCGTATCCAAGATAAGCAGTCTAATTGTTGCAGTCCTGATAGGTTTGGCACAGTAGGGTGTAAACTCGACGTAATTCAATCAAAATCTGCCGAAAGCTGTGGCAATCAAATGGCAGCCAATCAGGCCACTTCGATAGCTTCTCACAAGACTCTGTCAGAAAAACCGGTTAACAAGGACATTGAACTAAAGAAATGCATCTCGGATGTGTATCGTAGAGTTTCAGACCTGCATGTTCGTCTTTCAAGAAAGCACGGTGTTCATTCGACAATATCTATGGAGGCAGCTGGGTTCCACTATATTAATATTGGTGATACGGTTCAATGCGATAGGTGCCAACTTGAAGTGTCCGGATGGACGCTGGATATGAATCCATTTTCTATTCATTCAGAACGTAGTCCAAATTGCCCATTCGTTCGTTCTCTGAAAACGCCAAACCTTGCCTTTCAACTACCTTCATCATCTATAATGACTACTACACTCAAAGTACCGACTATCAATGTAGATGAATCTGAGAATCCTCGCAAACGTCAAAAACTAGAAGTATTCAATAATAGAGTTCAGGTACAGACACTTTTCGAAGCAGAGACACTAAAAAAAATACGCCGTCGCACTTTCTCACATTGGCCTCATAAAAAGTCGCCATCTGGCGCACAAATGATTGAAGCTGGATTTTTCCACTGTAATGTCGGTGATCGCGTGATATGTTTGTACTGCAATCTGATCTGTCAGCAATGGACGCCCAATGCAGATGACCCATGGCTAGTACATAAAACACTATCACCCAAATGTCCTTATGTAATGGACATGCTAGCACGTCGCGAAACGACGCCTCTAGTGACTCTGAATGAAAACTCTACTAGCCATCAGTCATCAGCAGTAGCGGGTACCGAAGTGCTTCGTTCAAATGGCATTGTAACTACCACAGCTTGTCACAGCGCATATATGGAAATACCGAAACGATATGTATCATTTGCCACTTGGCCCAGCGAACAGTTACCTGCTGTGGATGATCTTGTCCGAGCAGGATTCTTCTATACTGGTAAAAACACAATTGTGACGTGTTTTTATTGTAATGGATCTCTTCAGAACTGGGGTTCTAATGATAATCCAATGATTGAACATGCAAGATGGTTTCCTCATTGCGCCTATGCCAAGCAACTTTGTGGGGATGATCTTTATCGAAAAATTCAAGAATCAAAACGATTGGCTCAAGGTTAGTGAATATGTCATTAACTTGAACAGTGTTTATTAGTGAAAATTTATGAGACATGAGACATCTTGAGTTTTTACAATGCGGAAGCCTTGCGATTCTCTAGTTTCGTTTAAGTGTTGTGATTTGTGAGATTTCTTGAACTTTCAGAACATGATCCTCTCCGAGACGCGTGAAAATAAGAAAACTATGTGGAAAGTTACAACTGTTGAAGATCTCGGCTATTTTGAGAATTTGAATAATTGTAAGGATTGTGAGCATGTTAGCAATGTCTAGAATATGTATGATTCCAATAGAATCATTAATAGAGCCAAGTATAGCCATTTGAGCTTATTTTAGCTATTCAAATGTACGAAAGCACCATAAGTATTGAGAAAAGAGTAATTATCTACGTATTGGTAAACGAAGAGTTTTGTTGCGTACTCGCTTTGCTATAGTCGCAAGTGACAAAATGGCTATATAGGAGAATCTAGTTGAAAAAATATCGTCGCTACAGATTTACTAGTAGGTTATTGTTGATTAATTGAATGGTAAGTCGAATTAAATGAAATTGCTGTCTCCGATCGGTTGCATTGAAACAAAAAACTATTAATGGTCGATATTTAGAACGATAAAAACTTTTGACCAAAATTGTCATAAGATGTCAGATAAGAATGCTGGTTTATTCATTATTTTGATTCAGTTTTAAATGAGATTTGATTGACGACCTTGCTATATAGGCACTGATGTTCTTGAATATATAACGTGTGAATTTTTTGCTAGAACGTACGAGAGCAAATCAGATGGCCAATTGCGGAAACTCAAATACGCAAAAGCTACAAATAGCCGATGAAAGTACATTGTCACGCTATGTTGCTGCTCGCCTGGACTTACCAATGTCGCAAAGACTACTGGACAAACCATTTAAATTGTCGATCATCAAACGATGTTGGGAAGATCAACTTAGATTAAAACGTAAAAATAAATGACCTTGCTTTTGGTTTGCAGACTTTTCCATAATTAAAAATGTCATTTTAGAAGATGACTTCGAAACAGACTCGGACCTACTGATAGCTTGCACCATTCTTCAGAAACAAATCGACTGTATTAATGGTAAAAAAGAGAATATCATCGTGCCTAGTGTGCGAATACAACAAATTAATGAACAGAAACAAGCAGGTATGTTTCGTGAAAATAAGTGTCTTGCAACAATATTTACCATAAAACAATTGTTTAGAAGCGCGTACTACATTATCGTCATCGGTTCCAACTTCTATAGAGTCAGAAAATACCGCTAGATCGACAGCTTCAAATATCGAAGGGACACATCCATCGAATACGTGTAATAGTGAATCGAATTCCAGGATACCGACAAACTCAACTGTTGAAGAAACAAAAGCAGTGAATATAGCTCAGAAAAGTACATGTCCAGAGCCGATGCAAACCAGTGCTACCACTTTGATGAATCCTTGTGCTTTGTGCATGAGCGAAGAAAAACGTATCGCATGCATTCCATGCGGACATCTCGCCACTTGTGTTCCTTGTGGCCACTCACTACGGTCATGTCCAATATGTAGGCGAGAGATAGAAGCATTCGTTCGCGTTTATCTTTAGCATCTTTATTAAGAATATTGTTTTTGTTATTGTTGTGATTAATGTATATCCAAGTGTAGAAAATTACAACGGGATTTGGTGTGCTGAATGGTGTGAACAGTTAATTGTAAACCCATACATATAGAAGAAAGGGGGAAAAGAAAACTGAAGGTGAGCGTGAGAGTGTGACTAGGTGTAAGCATGAGTGTTGATGTGAAGTGGTGTGGATGCTGGCGTCGTTGTGAGTTTCTAACTATTATCCACATCCACACCCAACACTCACCCTTATTCATTTATTGGTGATAACCGGGTTTCTTATCAAAGGATTGTTACGATTGGTCCCAATGACATTTCGTCTGCTTACATTTCATTCCAACTTATGACAATTCATATTCATTATAGAAATATGACATAAAATTTATTTTAATAAACTCAAGTGCTTATTTTCAAGTTCATAGCAATTTTAGTTAAACATTTTTCAACATTGTTGA